AGTCAGCCGCTGGTCAGTTTCAGCAGTGGCTGAATCTGGACGCCAGTTCCGACTTACATACAGATTCAACTTAGGGACTGTAGGTTTGTTCTTATCTTGTACGTAACCCGGGGACTGCCTGTATTTGAAGTACACCTCCCTTTCCATGATTGCCAAAATGGCTTGATCCTGACATTCTTGACCTGAGAGAGGAGAGAATTTATTTCAATATCTCCCTTGTGTCTCTTATAACCCAAACCATACCTGGATCCTTTTAGCCTGGTGTTAGTGGATGTTAGTTTATCTTACTTTGTTTCCTGCAATTCATGAAGGCTGAGCCAGTAATTCACGAAGTGATTGCCCAAGGTTAGCTGCAAACTGCCATAGCTAGGATAAAATGGAGGTAGACAAGGGAATGGACTTCCAATAGAAAGGGCTGACACTGGAAATGGATGTTGGACTGCAGGCTTCTCTCAAGGTGCTAGCAGTAGACTTCTTATTGCATGTATTAACTGCTATCATTTTGTTAGTTTCTAGGGGGTATTGTATTCTATTGCAATTTTCCCATTGTAACAAGTATGCCTGTCTTCTGCTGCCATCTGAAGCATAGCTTAATACTTGTCAATGTTCTGGACGGCTGGAATTCTAGTTGAGAAATTGGCCCTTCAGTGAAATGTTCTCCTCAACCTTTCCTTTTTAAACTGTGCCTATATCCACACTGGGCTGGTGAAGAGGAAGCTCCTTTGTGCTTGAACCAAGGCTGAATAAAACCATCTGAGATGTAACCAGATTTAGATGCATTGATGCCACTTCATACCAGTATAATTCCATTTCCATCAATGAAGTTACACCACAGATGAATTTGGCTCATGGGAAGAGGAAGGTTGCCCTTTCCCTTTGGGAAATTGCAGGTTCTGGATTCTAATAAACTAGCTGGAGGTAAAATAAAGGCTCTAGGCAGTTGCTGCAACCTGAAGTCTAAACTCTGCAAAGTCACTTTGATTCACTTTAACCCTTCCTTTGTTGATCTTCAGTAGCACCTACTATGCTTTCCAGTGAATGGGGTAGAAGTGGTAATATTGGAACATATCAGGTACATTCAAGGGGTGGTTTTACTAACAGTCCTATTTTGGTTAAAGGGAAGGCTCATATGACTATGAGCAACCTTAACTGGATGTTTTGAGCTCATGAACTAGAGGCCCTACAATGCTCTTGATTAAACTCTTCAGTGCCTATTAATGGGAGTTCTGCATGTTTGTCAAATGCTACAGAGTATCGAGTTGATAGCAAAGCTATTCATAACCATTTCAGAGAATATTATTTTTAAATTGTGATCATTTAAAAAAATACACCTCTCTGTTGCTTTTGATTTGTTTCGGAAATTTAAAAAAATACCTCAAGGAATTGGTGAGAGATTGTCCAAGAGCTCTTACAGTTCTTAAAAAGCTTTTATGGTCATTGTTTCTTTGGTTTTGTACATGTTCACACAGGTAGCACACAACTTAGTTCTTACCCATAAGGAAAAGCAGAAAAAGACCAAACACATCAAATGCACTGGAATGTAATTGTGTGTGTGTGTGTGTGTGTGTGTGTGTGTGTGTGTGTGTGTGTGTGTGTGTGTGTGTGTGTGTGTGTTTATATAAAAATGCAGTCTTAACATCCTCCCTTCTTTCTTCCACAACTCACAACCCCTTCCCCCACAGAAGGAAGGATCTCTTCCTCTGAATCCCATGCTGGAAGTTGGTTTCTGGGAAGTGAAACTAAAATCTGTGGAGTTTTTAAAAAGCCATTTTTTTTCAGTTCTGTCTTCAGACTATTTGCTGCCTTTGGGGGATGGAGGGAGGAGATGGGAAGGGTAGGTCTTTAAACTGTTTTAAATTTTATTATGAAAATTTGCATGTATAAAGTTATCTTTAAAAATCAAGTGGAGTCTCCCTGATTTGCAGATTTATCCTCAGGAGAGCATCGCCACATTCCTCAGCTCCAGAGAGACAAATGTAGGCCTGTACCCCTCAGAAGACCACTCCAGTTTGGTTAGATTACTAGGAAAGGAAAAGTTGAGTGTGGAAAGAGGATGTAATACCCCTCTCTTCTCACTGTGTTATAGTTGTATGAAGACAAACATGGCCAAGATCTTACTAAATGGGTGCTTACTACATAGGTTCCTAGTGGGGTATTTCCAAAGGCACCCAAAAGAGGTGATTTTGAAAACCCTGATACTAAATATGAACTTTGGGTACCCAAAATTAAGACTACTTTAAAAAATGCCCCTACAACTTGGGACATGTATTTCCCTGCCCCCCCCTTAAATCCTCTTCCTCTCCTTCTGTGATGATAGCAATATATACAGATCCCCCCTGCAATTTCTCTCTAAAGATCCGTAGATGAGCATACTGTATCGATGGGCAGCTTCATCTTCCATTGGACTTTTCTACTCTTGTCAGAGATCATTTTTAAACACTGAAGTAATTAATTGCCACCAGTGGCTACCTTGTAGAGTCAAAGGGATGAAGAGGAGAGAAATTCTCAGTATATTGTTAAAAATGCTCTTATGCATTCATGGAGCCTGTCCATACTAAATGAATCTTACGTTCTTCCCGCTGAAGAAGTGCAGCCGATGCTCTCCTGTGAAATCTTTGTCTAGACTAGTCCTGAAGTGCACATGCCCTCTCTGCCATGGACTGAGACCCAGTGAGAATGTAGCATTTTGTTTATCTTGGCTGTGTGCCTCCAGGACTCCTGCCTGTAGTGGTGGTGACTGGGAATAGCTCCTTTTTTGTATCTGTGCAGTATATTTGCTTTGTGCTTTCTCTCTGGTGCTTTTTAATACTTGGAATTTTTTCTAATAACTGGTACACTTTTTAATAAAATTGTTAAATGCTATATATTCTCTTCAGTTGCATGATTTAATGGCTGTATGACACTGTATGACACTCCATTATAGTGACCTGAAACTTCACAAACTGACCAACAATTCTGTAATTTAGTCAAAGGTGAAAGTAAGTTGTTTTTTTTCTTATCACCCAATTGAAGAAAATTGTTCATGCCTGTGCCCAACATAATTTGATTAGAGTGTGGGCTCTGGGTGGGACTGAGGATAAGAGCTTTGGCGTGTAGGAGGGGGTTCAGGCTTTGGGTGTCTGGGCTGGAGCACAATGGGGTGAAACCTTGAGCAACTCCTGGTCAGCAGGGAAGCAGGGGTGCTAAGGCAGGCTTCCTGCCTCTCCTGGCACTGCAGACCATGCTGCGCCCCAGAAGCAGCCAGCAGCAGGTTGCCAGCCAATGGGAGAGTGGAGCTAGTGCTCGAGGCAGGGATAGTGCACAGAGTCCTGTGTGCTTCCACCATGCACTCCTAGGAGCTGGGCCTTCTTTTGGGGCGCAGTGCAGTTTGCACTGCAGGACAGGTAGGCAGCTTGCCTTAGCACCCCCATTTGACACCTCACCACCTGCAGCAATGTGACCCAGTGCCTGACATTCCATGAACCAGTAATGGTTTACAACCCAGAGTTTGTAAACCACTACATTAGCGGGCCTGAGCCAGTACCAACAACCCCTGGGAAGTGCAGCCACAGTGCACCCAGGTTCCAGACTCGGTATACTCCCTGTTACCTAGCCTTTACCAACCTTTGCAGCTAAACCAAGATTTTCCTTTAAGATTCTGTCATTGTATGGGGGGGAGGGAGGAAGGTATGTCCCAGCCCACTGGTGACTGAATTATAAAATATGAAGCCTTAGAGGCTAAGTTTTCACCATGGTACACTAGGCTTTCCAAAACTGTTGCTAATAGGAACTGCATGGCTAAAGCATCCACTTCCCTCCACAAAGCTGTAAAATGTATCTTCAGAACAGGTACCAAAGTATTTAAAAAGGAGCCTCTGACTGCAGTTTCTCTGCACTTTCTAGGCAAGCTCAATCAAAGTTGATCAGCTGCAGGCTTTTATTGATGACTACAATTACAGTTGTTAATGTACCAAGGAAGATTCCAGTCTATACTACTACTAATTATGTATATTTCATACAAATGAGTAGTGGCTCTGGAGGATAAGATGGTATCAGGCCTGCCACTGGAGGAGCAAAAGAGACAACTGCCCAGGGGCCCAGCAATTTAAAAAGACCTGCGGACACATTTCCACCCCCCCTCCCCACCCCGGGTTGCTGCCACAAAGTGTGTCTTGATGGAAAAAGGCTTTTGATATGCCCCTTACAGGTTCCAGGGTGGAGTTACTGGGCCCAGAACCTGCAAGTGTGTCAAAAGTGTCTTTCAATCAAGAAACACTTCTGTGGCTTTGCCCAAAGTAGATAGATTGGGTCCGGGGAAGAGAGGAACGGTGTGGCATACCTTTCCTAGAGCTTTTCCAAACAGGTGGGGGGCTGGGCTGACTCAGGCCTCCTCTGGCAAAGGGGAGTGTGCTTGGGGCTTCTGTGAGGCTGGAGGCAGGGTTTGTGGCCCTGGCCTAGCCAGAGAAGCAGGGGGCCCACAGATTTCTGCCCAGAGGCCCAGAACTGCTGTCGGTGGAAGTTTCCAGAACCTGACTGGAGCTGAGCTGCTGCCCCTAGACACATACTTGAGCAGGGGCGGCCCGTGACTATAGGCTGACTCGGCCGTCACCTAGGGTGCCGCCTTCAACAGGGCGCCCGATGACGTCATTCCATTGACGGCTGTGCAGGCGGGGGCGCTGATCGCACGTTCCACCTGGGGCGCCAGCTGCCGCAGCCCGCCTCGGGCCGCTCCTGTACTTGAGGTAAAGGCCGTCTTTCTCATATCCCCTGGTTGAGAGCTGAACACTGATGTCAAGCTTCCTGGAACACTGACCCTTCTGACTGCTCTGTAGCTCATATACTTCTGGAAGCTCAGCAAAAATGAGTGTTTTCTGAGTTACCATTTAACTCTCTCAGGCTATGTCTAGACTGCCACTTTTTATCAGAAAAAGTTACGCAAATTGCACACCTTTTTCCGATAGTTTTGTCGGAAGAGGCTTTTCCAAAATTTGGCCCGTGTACAGTGGGCCAAATTTCAGAAAAACCTCCTCTTTTGGAAGAGCCCTTCTTCTTCGTGGCATGAGAAAGACGGGGTTTCTGAAAGAGCGTGTCTGCTCTTCTGCAAAAAATGTTGGAAGAGCAGATGCATTCCTTGGATGCAGCAGAGTTTTTCCGGGATACCTCCAGTATCCCAGAAAAACTCCATAGTCTAGACACAGAGACACATTGCAGTTGTGAAGCATATAGCTCTTACAGACTCTTTGACCAGAATCAAACACATTATTTCTTTACTTAATCACCTGAGAAATAGACAGGTGTAGGACATTTAGAAAACAAACATTCACTGCACAATGCTCCTCACTCTTTTACCTGTCCCCAGGGGTACCAATTGTAGTCAGATTGTAGGAGAGATGATCTCATCAGGCCTCTGCATGTTGTAGGGTTAATTGCTTCTCCTTTCTCTTACACAGGAGAAAAATGGTCATTGAGTGAAGCAGTTCCTGCCCTCTTATCACTTTTAGCCCCCTTTGTCTGATGGCCTGCTCTGGACAGTCACAGATCCCTGCCTGGCCTTTGTTACCAAGGTAACCTTCCCCTGACAAACCTGCTCACTAGCATAGAAACCAGCCCATTGTCTTTCCTTGGTAGGGGACCAGCTTGGTTTAACAATCCTCTCTTGTTAGGCCTTTGCCCCTATTGCTGTTGGAGTTTTGGTTCCACCTGGAGGTGAAAAGACAATAAAAGACACAGGATCACATTTAAAATTGAGTTTTCAGCTGGATAAGGATGCATAAGCAATTCATAATTTCTCTCAGAATTAATGAGTTGTACAGATTTCCCAAGTCATTACAGATGGTAATGCATCCCCTTGCCACAGCTGCAAAGTTAAATTCCTGAATGATAGTAAATGCACACTTACAGTTAGGACCCTGATGTGTACCCCTTTGGTGGAATTCAATTTTAACTGAGTTCCTATAAATGATTGGAAGAAATGTCTCCCCTGAATAATGTAACCAGTCAAAAATGGGACAATGTATGTGTTTAATAATTTTAATACACCCCATTAAAGCAATGTTACTAGTGAGATTTTCATCTCCAAAAGGTTTAGGAAACTGAGTTAATGATCCCACTCCAATGTTAAGTTGCCTTGTTTTGGTGTATGCATTACAATAGAGTCTTTCATTCCATGAACACATGATGTATGCAGTAATATGAAAAGCAACATGCATATCTAAAATTATAGACAAAAAGTACAATTTCTTTTCATTGTATTAGATTTGCTGAGAAGTGTGTCCCCTGCCCAATGTCATGTGATTATGAAAGAGCTTATTGTAATACACTCGCACAAGGGGACAGAGGTAAGATTGATGCAGCTGGGGGAATTAACTCTGAATTTCCTGACTCTAGGATGATTAAAATCTTAATTTTTTCCATAATTTTTTTATTAAAGCAAAATGTGGCCTTTAAAAACGAACTGTATGGTGTTAGCATTGACACATAGCTGGAACAGCTGAAAGAGCTTTTACCTAACAGGAAACATAGACTGGTGCACAAATGGCTGGAACACAAACCTTCCTTGGAGATCTCTCAAAAGAGTAAACCCAGCCTTTCTTAACTTATGAAATTAGATGCTATCGCAGCCTGTAGTTATCAAACTGCAGCCAAGTGAGGGGTTTTTAATTGTATACATTGGGGGTGAAGAGAGATGATTGGCTCAAGCATCAAAACCAAATCCAAGATGCTCTTACGCATTGGAGTACTCCCATTAGGATCATCAACAAGTTGGGAGATTTTCTCCTCAGATCCTGACTAGACTCAAACGTGCATACTAATCAAAATTGGAGAGGGGTAGTGTCCTTTATCCCTTAACTTGTAACGTGGTGGAGCAATTGTAATGTATGCTTCCTAGTAAGTATCAGCACCATAGTAACAGCATTAAAAATGTACTTTGATTTCATACCATTAACTTTTAAATGGCACACTTTACTGAAGAGATTTAAGTTGGGTTAGTTAGTACTGCAGGAAAAACTGTTTATTAAGAAGTGTTCAGCCTCTCTTTAAAATGAAATAAAATTATAATATATGCACTGTTCTGATGATTAAAGTTCTTCTCTTGTTACACAGCCAGATACATAAAGCACTATATTCCAGTGCCTCTTTTTGCTGAAGTTAAAAGATGAAAAGCTACTGATTAACCATCCAAAAAATTACAAAATTAAATACCTTTTTATGGAAAAGGTACCTGTCCTTGCTGAGCTTGATATATATGAAAGCTGCTCAAAGTCTGCTTTCACACCTGAATAATTCAGAAATAGATTAGTATTTAAAAGATACTTTAGAAAATATATTTATTTCTGGTGTAGCGCTAAGTGCCTTTTATTTAAGGTTTTTGAGAGGAGTGTTCCAAAAAGTCATTTTTTTAAACAGATCTAAGTGACTGGGAAATAATGGCTTAAAATGGGAGAAGTTCAACTGCATTATCTCATTCAAACAAACAACAACAAAAAAACAACCAGCCAGGGACAGTTTTAACCATGTGCAATAGAAGTGACCAGGCTCTTTTGCTTTTGGGAGTGTCACACAAGCCAAGCAGTTTTCCACCTCAGACGTGGAACAGAGATAACTTGCCAACTATTTCCTCCTTTCTGGCTAGTCAGGACAGCAGTCTCTGTCTGAATAATTATGTATATATATACATGCTAATTCCTGCCCCATTGAGCCTCCATTCCAAGGTAGGGTGCATCCTATACATGTCCAATACCACATGATTGGAGAATGAAGTGGTACATCAGAAAATGGCAGACTCTATATAAACATACACATATTGCTAGTTAGCATTAAAATGCTGCATGAAAACAAATGTGGTTCATTCCAACAGGGATTTGAATTAAAAAGTGGATGATAGTTCAGGGCTAATAGCTACTTGCTATTATAACACTTGCTGCTGCTGAGTGTTCCCTACTATTTTGACTTTCTTCCCATCTGATACTGGCATTGCCTTTTGTTGTTTTGAGGTCCTGATGTCTGTCTGTCCCTTTAACAAAATTAAGTGTCTGACAACAATATAAATGTTCCATTTGAAAGGTCTTTAAATCTTGATTTCTCCTAAATGATTTAATTCTTGTCTCTCTAGAATTATAATGGTCTCTTTTCTTTCCCCATTGAAATCTGTCAGCATTCTCCCTCTCTGTTTTGCCTCAGGACTCTTGATGTATACAAAGGATCCTCTGTTTTTCACTCTTAGTCACATGCTTTTACTCTTAACCTCAATGCCGTAAACTAAACATCCACCCTCTGTGGCTGGAGATGACCCTATTTATGTCTGTAGCTCACATCAAAACAGCAACAGTGGTGAAAACTGTGTTTGATGGAGACAACTAGCTTTTAGTAAATGGACAACAAATCTTGAGTTTTGCATAACTTAATGAGTTCCAGAGTTTATGGGAAACTTCAAACAGAAATAATGAGCAGGAGATGGCTAATGGGTTATATAAGGAAAAAGGTCTTTGAGCCATTTTCCTTTTCCACCCCTTGTGTTTATTGCAGATGATTTATTAGAATAGTTCTGTGTGTGTTTGTTTTTATGCAGTGTGAACTCCATTTGAGACAGTGAAGCTACAGCCATGTTCAGGGGTGACTACTTTTAAATTCGGAGTTAATTAACCACTAGTGAAAGGTGCCAGAATGATAGATCTGAAGCATGAAGTCTGGATCAACAGAGCAGGCAAAGTCTGTCAGTTATAGTTCAAGTTTCCTCTTCATACTCTCTGCTAATGTGCCTCTCACCTGAGATGGCAGGACCATTGATGTATGTGAAGATATTCAGTTTCAGTACTCAGTCATTCTTCAACCTTTATGCTAAGACTACCAACAGGGGTGCCAATTGTGGGGGACTTTTCATAAGGCATAAATTTTTCATAAAACATTCACTGGGAACTGGGCTGAGATGACAATCACATGTTCAATAGCCAACAGATGGTAAAGTTTGGGGAGGCGTTGGGTGGGAGAAGAAACATTTTAACGTTTTATAGAGGAAGTGGGTTGTCACTGAAAAGCCTGAAGTCATGTTTAGTTCCATGCAGAGAGAGCACAAAAGGACTGATAATGTCCACAGACAAAGGGCTATCATTTTTCCTCTGTGTTTAATTTCCACTCATTAACTAATAAAACCTCAAAAATAGACAGGGATCCTTCTCAGTGAGGGATTCTTGCTCTTTTGCTATAACCTCAAAAGATAGTGGGGGAAGAGAAATATTCTCATGAAACATTCAAAGTTCTTCTGGTCTAATCCCTTTCCTTCTCCTTGCAGTCATCTAAAATGCTTCACCTTTTCTTTCATAATTTGGCAAGAATTACAAGAAAAAATTACATGTTGTTTTTAAAAAATGGATTTCAACATTCTCCGCAAGATCTCTCTCTGTGACCCCATTCACAGTTGCTGGCTGTTTTACAGGCAAATTTTCTTGGCCACTCAGAATTTGTACCCTCAAGCATAATTCTCAGACCTGCCTTTCTTTACTCGGGAATTCCTAAGGCTCTTCTGAAGGGTGAGAACAAATAACTTGCTCAGTCTTATCCTCTGAATCCTGATACAGACAAGCCGCCTCTGACAGTATTAGGTCATGTAGTCCATCCGCCTGTCAGTGCAGGCATGTTCCCTAGAGCATATTCGCCAGTGTTTTGATTAGTCTAGTTTTTAATGTCCCAAGTGACTAGCTTTCCACTACTTCCCTAGGGAGACTGTTCCACAGCCTAATAAATCTCACTGACAGGATTTTTTTCCCCAATATTCATCCTACATTTTCTATTTCTTAATTGTATTTCACTATCCTAGTTATATGCCCTTGTACCATCTTGTAAAGAGACTGCATCAAGCCACTATTACAGCTAATACATACTAATAACCTGATCCAAAGCCCATTGAAATCCATGGAAAATACTCACATTAACTTCAATGGAGGTTGGTTCATATGCTAGAATATCAGGCATGTCTGGCCTATTCACTTGTGTGACAGGATAGTGTATGTCTGTAACTGTGCGGAGAAAATAGGAGTTTTGTAATATTGATATAAACAATTTGCATGACTGTTTTCCTACTCAACTTGTACTGAAACCTATTGAGTCTGAAGGGGTTAATTTCTTCCAGAGGAGACTGGTAGTAAGCCTGTCTGGCTTGGAACTTGTTATATTTTCAAAAACTAACTGGAATCAACACAAATGAATGCAGTGTCCTGAAGAGACAATGGAAGCTCCAACAACCAAACATTAGCTGTTGGTGACAGGGAAAGGAAGGCAAGCTAAACATAGGGACTGTGTCTACATTGGCATCCCTTTCCAGAAAAGGGATGCTATTGAGACACTTCGGAGTTGCAAATCCGCGGGGGATTTAAATATCCCCCACGGCATTTGCATTTACATGGCTGCCGCTTTTTTCCGGCTCGGGGTTTTTGCCGGAGAAAAGTGCCAGTGTAGACGCGATTCTCCGGAAAATAAGCCCTTTTCCGGAGGATTCCTTATTCCTACTTTCAAAATAAGCCCTTTTCCGGAGGATCCCTTATTCCTACTTTCAAGTAGGAATAAGGGATCCTCCGGAAAAGGGCTTATTTTCCGGAGAATCGCGTCTACACTGGTGCTTTTCTCCGGCAAAAACCCCGAGCCGGAAAAAAGCGGCAGCCATGTAAATGCAAATGCCACGGGGGATATTTAAATCCCCTGCGGACTTGCAATTCCGAAGTGTCTCATTAGCATCCCTTTTCCGAAAAGGGATGCCAATGTAGACACAGCCAGGAAGACAGCAGAGGCTGCAACTTGGGACAAAGGGGCCAGGTGTGAGCAGGCTATGTTTTAAATTTCCTGCTACCCAAGCAGATACACACAGTGAGGGAGAGACACAAGAAGACAGAAGATGGAGCCTATAGAGCACTGTGGGGCAAGCTGACTTAAGCTTTGCTTTACCATTCAAACCTGCACTCTTAAATACTATACTATAGCTGACTAATAAATGCTGACTTGTCTACTGTGATGCTGCAGATACTGGCTGCAATACTCCCTGAAGGAGTAAAATCTATGGCAGGAGTTTGAACTTACTGGACTTCTTTAAAGCCCTCATGAGCAATGGGTGCACTGTGCCCAGAAAGGCTGGTCTTGAAGTAAGGTAGCCACATGGCTTGCCCTCATAAAAAGGTAAGCCAAGAGCCTATGAAATAATAGGGGGACTCCCAAAGGCCTCCTAATCTACACTAAGAGATTGTTTCAAATTCACTAAATTTGACTTCTGGCATCTGATTTTACAATTTCGAAGTTCTGTGTTCTCACTACAGGGAAGAATCAAATGTAGTCTGAGGCAGGCTCCATTAATGTGGATATGCTACCATGGACTCAGAGTTCCAGGAAGCGCTCTGGGGAGCTGCAGGAGACCTCCTGGAGGCCAGTTAGTTCGAATAAGCGGCACTGAAATATCCACACTAATGGTATTTTGGATTTACAAGTTTAGGAATAACATTATTCCTGATGAAACGCAGGACCACAGAGTTCGAATTCTGTAGCCCCTTATTCTGGAATAATGGGCTTGGTAGTATGGCTGCATTGCTTATAAATTCAGCCTTGTAAGCCAGGCCAAAGAGACGACACAGTCTGGGGCATTGTACACTTCTTTAATTCCCTGACAGTATGTCTATATCAAACTATGAATCCCATTTTGTTTTGTGAACACCATTTTGACGACAAAGTACACTGCACTTTCACTATTGCTTTTTGAACTTCCATCTTGGTTAACCAGGAGGTGTTAGCTGAGGGCTAACAATGGGGAGCAATCAGGAATTGTTAACCTGGATGATCTTCCATTCAAATTCCTAGGGCAATGAGCTGGCTAGCTGTCCTCTAAGGAACCAGTTGTCCCAGGCAGGCTTGTAATCAAAGCATCAAAATACCTGATGAGTGATTTGAAGCCACTCAGGAGGATCACTTTTTACAAAGTGAAGGCTCTCTCACTGGTTATTTAAGAAGAACCAGAACTGTGCAGGTAATAAGAAAGAGCCCTGGACTTCCTAAAGGTCATTGACTGAGACCCACAAGACTCTCTGAATAGTAAGCGCACGGGAGGAAAGATTTTGTCAGTAGGTGTTTATTATTAGTCCCTAGATCTGTGTATGTCTTGTCCTTTGTGACTTAAGGTATGATTGGTTTAGAAATTCCTTTGCTAAGTCTGTGTCTCCTTTGCTTTTACTCTCTCATTGTTCTTAACAAAGGATACAAAGTATCCTTAACAAAGTAATTTTTCGGGACCATAGCTTCAGTGAAGCTCTGGGAACATGCAAGAGCCATTGAGAAGGCTTGGCAGAGCTAACCCTAATTTCAGGATGTGGGCTCTTGGATTGCAGAGTCCTATCTTTCAGGCAGTGATGCTAGAGGATTGACACTGAAAAGGAATGTGGAGGCTCACTGGTTGAGGCAGAGCCCAGACCATAGGCAGGCAAAATACAGCCTGTGGGCCTCTTCTGGCCCACCAAACTGCTAGATCCATCCTATCACCGACCCACACACTGCCCCCATGTGCTCCCACATGCTACTCAAAATGTTTGGCTGTGGGGGTCTCATGCTCTCTGTGCACTGCATGCCTGGGGGAGAGGACCTTTTGTGCACTGCCCCCACCTCCAGCACAATCTTGCAGCTTACATTGGCCAAAAATCAGCAAATGGGAGCTGCCTGGGCTGTGCTTGCAGTGCAGGCAGAGTACTGTGCTTCCTCCCTCCTCCCCGCCAACAGCATGTGGCTTTCAGCAATAACATGGACCCCATAGCCACCCACTTTGAGAGGTGTGCAAGGGCTTAGCAGGCAGAGAGCCTACCTGAGTGACCAGCTAGGCTGCTGGCCACGAGTCGCCTCAGGTAAGTACCTCCCAACCTGAGCCTGCACCTGGCTCCTTAGTCACTCTCTCAGCCCAATTCCCTGCCCCAGCTCATAAACCAACTCCTCTGCACCCTTGTCCCAGTTCACAATTCTCTCCCAGATACTGCACCCCCTCCTTCACCCCTCCTCCACATCAGAATCCTTTCCTACACCTATATCTCTCCTTCCTTCACCCCTCCTCCACATCAGAATCCTCTCCTACACCTATATCTCTCCCGGATCCTGCATCTGCTTCTGCACCCCAATTCCCTGCCCCAAGTCACAATCCTCTTTTATCTAAACTCCCTCCCAGACCCCATGCCTCCTTCTGCATCCCAATCCCCTACCCTTAGTTCCTTTCTGCACCTAACCTCCATTCCAGATCCTGCACCACCTCCATTTATATCATGGAACCACTTACCAAATTCTTGAGAGTAGGCCCCCCACCATCAAAAATTATTGCCCACTCCTGGCCCAGACTCTACCTATCCCTCACCAGCCTAAGAGTATGTGAGACATAGCAGTGGATCAAAGTACAACCTGAAAAGCATTCACTAGGGGGATTACAGTATGACTGCCAACTGTCTGAAGCTTTCTAGAACCTATGACTGACTTCCCCTTGTGGTTGTAGTCCTATCTGGAAGTACACTGATAATATGGTCTCTAAAACAGCATAAGGCCTCCATTCTGTCTTCTTAACAATCATAACTTATAATTCACATGAGTAAAGGGCTCAAGTGAAACTGAATTGTGCCCACAACCTACAGTAAACTAATATCTATCACTTCCCCCATCTCACTCAAAAACCACTTTAAAATGTGTCTCTATCTTATGACCTAAAGTTCTATGGCCATAGGTTTAATCTGAGCTAAATGTTATTTCTCTAGGCAGCCTCACCCACAAAAATGAAGCAATACTTCTGCTCCTTCCAATGATTCACAATTAAAAATATACCTTTGAGTAAGTTACATTACAGCGATGCTGCATTTCAGAACCCAGATTGGATCAGCCAGAATTCTCTGCTGCATTGTCCAGCTCCTAAATCCTGTCAGAACGGAAATGGAAATTGCACAGCATTGGTGGCTATTTTAGAGGTCTGTTGAATCCTGGAAACTGTACAAGATGTGCCCTGGATTTATTTTTTATTAAATATGCATGATGCCCTTCCTAAGCTAGGTCTGGTGATGCTGAAGGGGACTGCATTGCACGTAGGTGCTGGCATACAACTATTTTTCACCCTTCGTAGTGGTGGAGACAGCCTTGTGGTGCAGATATGTTTGCTTTTGAGATCATCCTTGAAGCACAGCGTTTTTACATAATTCCCTGTATGCCTAGCCTTATGCAGTCCACACTTAGTGTGGCTCTCTAACCTGTGGGCCACTGAGGTTTGCGAATCTGTTACAGCCTTTGGGTGAGGAAAGTCTCTTTTAGCGTGGGCAAGCAGAGGTTCAAACTTCTACATCCAGAGATTCTCGGTTTAATTGCCACTGCCACTAACCAACCTGGAGTACTGAGTTATAAGTGGTGTTGCACCTTGGAATATGAATTGAGTTGAATCCCAAGTTGAGATTTGTTGGTTAGGAGAAATAGTTCGCCTAGTGCAAACTACCATGTGGTCCAGTCTCTAACAGGACTAGATCTTTCAGTTTAGAAAGTCCAGACTTACTCTCTTAGATCTATTGTTCTCAGCATTTGATCCCTGCATCTGATGATCCATCCAGGAGCATTATGTTAAACTTGGAATGTTGCTAATGTCCCCAATAAGCTAAAATGTCTTGAGTAAAGGGGGCGGGGGGGACGAGTGCTTGGGCTCGGTCACTCAACATACTTGGTCAGACGGTGCAGAGGTTAAAGAATATGTGAGGAAGGGAGACAAGAAAATAAGGTTTATTCCTGAATCAGAAACTGTGTTGTGTAATAATATACTGCAAGTTGCTTTGTCCATCTGAGAACAGGGGTTTATTGTTATCCCATGTGAGACTTAATCCAATAGTTTGTAAGGCGCTTTGAGAGTCTCAAATGGAAGATGCTCTATAAAGACACAGCATTTCCTTAACTTAGATATGGGGTTTTATTTCTAATTTCTTGTCCCGAGTTGGCAGTAGCTTCAAGTGGTGCAAGTGAGGGCCACTTATTTATCTTGCCAAGCAGTGCTGAAGGAGCTATCCTAATAGATTCAGCAGCTTCTACTCACCTAACAGAGAAGATGGAGGAGTGGATGGTGCATTCAGTGTAGAAAATAGCTCTTAGTGGGAATGTGACACTTTTGGCATAGTTTAGGACCTAAGCCATTAAAATGTACAAGGAAAGGTGCACCACCAATTCAAAAACATCATTTTTTTTCAACAAATCTAGTGAAGATTTTAGTGAAAGTATGAAGTTCTGAATTTATCCTTGAACAAATGCTACACAAACAGCTGAAATGCAAACTTACTTAGCAACGCTAACAAAAAGGTGTGGTCAAATTGGAGAAGGTCCAAAGGAGGGCAACAAAAATGATTACAAGTGTACACAACGTGACCTGTGAGGAAAGACTGGAAAAAATAAGTTTGTTTAGTCTGGAGAAGAAATGTCTGGGGTGGGGAGAAAGACATGATAACAGTTTTGAGAGACATAAAAGGCTGTTACAAGGAGGAGGGTGAAAAATTGTTCTCATTAACCTCTGAGGATAGGACAAAAAGCAATGGGCTTAAATTAAAGCAAGGGAAGTTTAGATTGGACATCAGAAAAAAACTATCCAGTGTCAGGATAGTTAAGCACTGGAACTAATTGCCTAGAGAAGTTGTGGAATCCCCCACACTGGAGGTTTTTAAGAACAGGAAAGACAAACACCTGTCAGGAAAGGTCTAGTTATTATGTAATCTTGCTTTGATTGCAGGAGAGTGGACAAGATCAGTATTTCTCAACCTTTTTTTTTTTATAAAGTCCCCCTTTTAAAAATATATATATAAGTACCCCCAGTACCTACAGTTTTCAGACACACAAATTTTTTTCTACCATTGCAACACATTTGTTTAAACAACTTAATTGTAGCCGGGCGAGTGATTAAATTTTTGGGTGTAAAAAGTACAAAGAATAATAAAGTGCTGTAAAACTTAAAACAAAAATTTAGTTTTCTCTAAATTTCAGTTGTGTTGACGTACCTCCCCTCCTTCCCCCAGACTTCTCTCGAGTACCCCTGAGAGTACTGGTTGAGAAACACTGGACTAGATGACCTATTAAGGTCACTTCCAGTCCTACACTTCTGGGATAATGCAGTTTTTGCTTTTGCTGAAAGCAATTTGGCAATGATGCAAAACCTCCAGCCTTCATACAATCTTGGGAACAAAAATCTTGACTTCAGCATTCCTGAGAGACCAAGAGTTCTAATTCTAACTTTTGCACTGTCTGTTATTTTTGAATATCTATCAGGGTAACTATCATTCACTTATTTCAATATAAAATAACTAAAATCAGTTCAAAAGAGCTGCTAATGGAACCCAAATCTGATCCTCTTTGCACATAATTTTTCAGAAGGAAAACACCAAATTAGGTGTTTCTGTAACCCACAATAACACTATTTGCTTCTGTGTTTAGTAACAAACCACATGTAGTAGTTAGTCTCTGCTAACTGTTTCTAAGAAAGCTGGTTCTTTAGTTCAAGTTGTAGCGGTTTATAGTTTTTACATCCAGATATCCCAAATTCACTCCCAGCAGATGACTCAAAGATGAGTGTGTTACATTTGGTTATGTTGTTTGTACTTACTACTCTACAATCTGCTGAGCCAAGAATCCTGATGCCCACTATTTGATTAAATCTTTCCCAATAAACTTGGGAGGGTTGTGACCATGAAAGCTCATGATACCATCTACATTTTTTGGTAGTCTCTAAGGTGCTGCTGAAAATTGTTTTTTAAGTTTTTTTCTATTATGGACTAGGGCTATGTCTAGACTGCAGGCTTCATTTGGAAGAAACTTTTCCGGAAGAGATCTTCCAGAAAAACTTCTTCCGTAAGAGAGTGTCCACACTGCAAAAGTGCATAAAAAAAGTCATCTGCTTTTTCAAAAGATAGCGTCCACACTTATGGACACTATCTTGCATTTCAGCTGTGATTACTATGGACGGCATGGCCACCAGGGTACCTGTGCTTTTTCCTCTTTCCTCCTCTTTTGAAAGAACTCCCTCTTCCTCGTCCACTCACGCCATTTTCCAAAAGAGCTCCTTCGAAAAAGGCTTCTTCCTCTTAGAAAGAGGATTACCAATATCGGAAAAAACCCTCTGTTCTTTTGATTTTTTTTCAAAAGAATGCAATTGCAGTATGGACATAATTGAAGTTTTTTTGGAAAAATGACATACCCTAACATGGCTACCCCTCTGATACTTGAGTTGACAACACTAATTCTCTTTCACACATAAATATGCACATGTAAATAATTCTGGGAAGAGGGAAACATGGCAGTCACTACAAAGATGCCACTTAGTGGAAAACGTGGTGGTAGTTTTTGTGATCTGGACATACGTGCAGAGAACTGCGCTAAACACCAACTCATTTTAGAAGCCACCAAATACTAGCCAGCTAGTAACTATTTCAGGTCATTACCAGCCTTGGCTGGTTTTGAACACATCACCTATCGGTAAATGCACTATGACCCCATACAGTGCTGTTTCTGCCCTGTTACCTGTATTGTTATTTATAGTTTCTCACGTGCCTGATAGTGTTCTAGATGCTGAGAAGACACAGTCCCTGCCCCCAAAGAGCTCACAATGCAAAATTAGATACAACTTGCCCCAGAACCATGATTAATGTGACTTGAGGAAGTGGGGGCATAGCAAGCAGGAGACTGAAAATACAAAAGATGGTCCTATAAGTACTTAGGTTTGTTATGTGCACATCCTCTTGATCTTACCTGCTCTGCAGGTGTGTGTATTTTTTATGAACCTATGCTCAATAAAGGCTTTTCATAGGTATCCAATTTGAGCCAAATGACCACAACCTTGTTACCGACTTTTCAACAATATTTTTCAACAGTTTCTCCTGCAAACATTTCCGCACCAACATGCATTCTCCTGGAGTCATATTGCAGTTATAAACAATCATATCTTGAGACTATGTCAGATGTATGGCTTTGGGCCTAATTAGACCAGATTTTTTTTTAATGTTTTGACATTGTTTTAAGGGCTGAGTTTTGCACTGGTGTCTGAGACCCGAGTTTCATTTCTAATCACAGTCCCTGACTCTTTCATCCAGCAGGATCTGGGAGCACAGGGCAAGAAGCACACTGTATCTCTCAACAGCAACACCTCACCCCCCATCAAGTCCTTAGCAGGAAGCATGGTGACAGCAATGTCATCATTCTGGAGCAGATTTATTGAGAGAAGAAATCGTTAGGGATCCATGTCCCTATCAAAAGATTCAGTGAAGTTCTTTAATAATTCTTTTCTCCTTCTTTCCTCTCTCCTGTCCTTTTTTTTTTTTTTACAGCACCTCCATGTATTTTACACACCCTCTGGAAAACAATGGCATTGTTTAAAATAGAATTTGAAGTAGCTGCCAAGGCTTGATCTAGAAAGTAAAATGAAAATACACTGAGGCCAAGTGCCCATAAACTTGTCAAGAAGTCTCTTCACTCCCCTCTAAAAACTATAAATCTCCTAGTGCCTGAGGTGTCAAGATTCCTCCTCCCACAAGCTCCTCTCTTCAACATACCAAGCTCTTAATGATGCCTCTTATGGGCACATGGGAGTGGATCACAATTAACTCTCATGAGTCTCCTTGCTCATGGTTTGGTAGTTGGTACTTCAGTATTCCATTGGGATGCATTGAAAATAGTCAGAAAAAACATGGAAAAAAATAATCTCCAGCATGGTATGAGGTGCCCAACTCAGTCATTAAAGGTGTAGAGATAATTCCAAAAGTATCATAATAATGAAACTTCATCACATAGCATTCTGCATTGGACTTTTGCAGAGTTTTCTTGGAGTACAAATCTCTATTTGATCCCTTTACTTTTTTATCCCTGTTGTGCTATGTGGTCTTTCTGCCCCAGAAACATAGATGGATTTCTACTCTCTCCTTGTTAGTCTATAAGGTGCCACAGGATTCCTTGTCACTACTCTCTCCCTGTCACTGGTTGCTACTTCAGTTGCTAGTAGTCCCTCTACTGTGGAACATCGATTAACAGAGTTGCCAAAACTGTGGGAGCAATTCAAATGTACAAGATTTAAAAATAAATATTAGTGGAATTGTAAAGCTCTCCCTGACCACACAATATCAACCTCATTCATTGCCAGAGGGAAAACCTTAAAATTGAGCCAAAATGAATGTGCTTCATTCGAAAGAAGGGAAATGTTTATTGTTGGCTACTAGAGCCTTTTCTCAACATGTCTTGACCATAGCCCACAGATGCTTATTGAACATGTTTGTGATGGCTGGAATGTCTATGCAGAATAATGGGAATGTGGTTGCCTTTTTTAGCTCGGAGAGAGACAAAATTATTAAATAGTTTGAGTCCAATGTATTACATAGTAGAGGTAATAATGTAATGACTGTGAAATAGGTGGTTCCAAAGTTTCACTTGGCAGAACTAGGACAATATCTTTGAATCTAAAGTGTTTAATGACTTATTGTTTTGGGAAGGTATTTTCCTGAGATGCTGCCCATCTTTAGTGCCAGGCTCTTTGGAGGCTTCTGTTTTTTTAAGAGCGCAAAGTTTTCATTCTGATTCAAGAGCCCTACATTTTTCTTCTGCTTCCATTCTGACCATCCATGCTCTGAGATCTCAATGTTACCATTATACCTAAATCATCTCCTCTCTGCACCTGCAAGCCTCTCATTCTTTAGCAGCTCTGGATGTTCCTTTCTAGCTCACTAGGAAACTAGATTCTTCTTCAATATCCAGCTCTGTAATAAGTCTTTTTTTTTCTCAGCATCCCATTCTGTAATTTAGGCTAAATCTAGACTGCAGACTTTTTGCGCAAGAACCTTTTTTTGGAAGAGATCTTCTGAAAAAACTTCTTGCACAAGACAGCGTTCACACACAAAAGTGCATCAAAAACGCAATGCGCTTTTGTGCAAGAGAGCGTTCAGTCAGGGCATTAGGTCAGCAGTTACTTCCAGGTGCTGTTGCCTAAGGCTATCTGAGACGCGTGCTTAAATGGACCCCCCTGGACAGCTGTTCCTCGGGCTCTGCTGCGGGCTTGCTACCTCTTTGAGAAATAGCAAAGCTTCAGCAGTGCCTGCTATGGTTTCCCTCTTCTTTTGTGGATGCCACAGCTTTTTGCTTAGTGCCATGGAGCCGGAGCTGCTCCTGGCCATGCGATGGCCCCACACAGCCATGCTGCAGTTTCTGCAGCAGTTTGTGTCTGCTGCCTTCCTGGTCCTGCAGGACATGGACCCCAAGCTCATTCTGGGGTCCCTCTCCGTGGCTGTGGCTGCTCCACTTTGGCAAACGCACTTTTCTGTGGAGAGGCATTTTTGGAGGCTCGATACCAGTTCAGACAGCTGGTCATGGAGCGGTGGAACGACCAGCAGTGGCTCCAAAA